TCAACCTCATCATCCTTCCACGATTTTCATACCCAATCAATGCAATCTTGAATGATTTCGATCGTTTCCATTCAGTTTTTGTTCTTTTTTCATTCATTTTAAATCAAGTTTGATATTTTCATTGAAAAATTAGAAACAAAATTTCCACCCAATTTTCACATTTTTCGGAATTATTCATCAAAATAAACCACGAAAAAATTTCCAGCTCTGGGAAAAATTCATGCAGTTGGTTAAATAAATATTGAAAAAATCTTTCCATTTCAATTCCCTTAACAAAGTGTACGGAAAAGTAAAATATTCAACATTACCATTGTTGGCAGCATATTGAATCTATTCCAATCGTTCTGCAATATTGATTTAGTTTCTTTTACTTCCGATTAAAAGGTTGGCGACATTATTGTGACCTGAAAAATAATACAGATCAATGAAAAAGATCAAAGCGGTATTTAATTTAGTCGGCAGTACCATGGTTAACAGCTAACTGACGAGGTGTTAGATTCTGAAGATTTCTAATATCAACTTTGGCTCCTTTTTCGATGAGAAGTTCAGCAACATTCTTGCGACCTTAGAAATAATTGAGATCGATGGAAAAGATCAAACCGATTCTTTATTTTGTGAAAATAACTATTCAACATTACCATATAGAGCAGAAAAATGAAGAGGTGTATTATTAGAATGATTCATGATATCTATACTGGCACCTTTGTTGAGGAGAACCTCGGCGACATCTTTATGACCTTAGAAATAGTTTGGATCGATGAAAAAGATCAAACCGATTCTCTATTTTGTGAAAATAACTATTCAACATTACCATATCTAGCAGCATAATGAAGAGGTGTATTATTAAAATGATTCATGATATCTATACTGGCGCCTTTGTTGAGGAGAACCTCGGCGACATTTTTGTGACCTTAGGAATAGTTTGGATCGATGAAAAGGATCAAACCGATTATTTATTTTGTGAAAATAACTATTCAACATTACCATATAGAGCAGCAAAATGAAGAGGTGTATTATTCAAAGGATTCATGATATCCATACTGGCGCCTTTGTTGAGGAGAACCTCGGCGACATTTTTGTGACCTGAAAAACAATTCGGATCGATGGAAAAGATCAAATCAATCTTTTATTCAATGAAAACAAGCATTCAACATTACCATATTCAGCAGCTAAATGAAGAGCTGTGGTATTCAAATTATTTCCAATATTAGCGTTAGCTCCATTCTTGAGAAGGACATCAGCGACACCTCCGTGACCTAAAATAATACGAATCAATGAAAAAATTAAACCAATTTCCCATTAAGTGAAAAAAAAAGTCAAGGCTGCACTGACGAAGTGTAGTAGACATC